TCATCATTAAGTGATCTTCCAGCTTACCAGGCAGTCCTGTGTGCACATCTCTCTGACCCCTTGCGCATGTCTCTCAAAACGTGTGAGTGAGTGATTCTGCCAGCTGCTCTCTGTCCTCTGTGCCCAGCTTTCTCTCCTATAATCTCTCAAGATGGCAGAACCCTGAATTAATGAAATACAAATCAAGTACAATTTTCTGATTGAGTGGGATGAGGAGAAGCTATTCCAAAGTCCTAAGTCCCCTGATACCACAGCTTGTATCACTACTGCTCTTTCAATCATATAGCCAACTCTGTTAGCCAATACAAATAGACATATATGCATGCTGTCCATTCGAGCTATTTGTCACAGTTAAGACGCAGAATGTCACTCTTTGCTGGTAGTTGCTGCAAGTGAGAAAATGAAGGGTTTACAGAGAAGGAATTATAGGAGCTTATTAATTTTTCTGTCCAGTTTTCTGTGGTTTCTGAGGAACATAATGCACTGTCTACCCTGGACTCTGAGCTATGAATTCAGGTGAAGGTGGAAGTGGATGAGTACCACAGGATTATCATGGAAAGTACCACGAAGCCATCATGTGTAACTGATAACACAAGATTTCTAGAGTTAAGATGTTGCTCCTGTTTTAGACAAATGGAAAGGATGTAACATTTCATGGCAACATGGCTGTAGGAACTGACTATTGCTAGTTAACACATTTTGCAAGAGTTAGCACCTCACTTAGTATGGACAAAATTATATGCCCCTGAAAATTGCATTAATCAAAATGCATGAACTAGCAAGTCCTAAAAAAGCAAAATTAAAATACAAACCCTCTTAGCACTTGTCCCAGTTTTCCTAGAGCAGAATATTCCATTTCATAGTGAGAGAAAATTATTCTTTGTTGATGAGTTATAATTGATGAATATTTAAGAAAAAAAAAATTAAAAATCAGAGCTTCTGTAAAAAGTAAAAGGCCTTTTCTTTGGGAATATATAGTGTCAAAATAATGTCATTTTTATGTAGGCTACATTTTGCTTAAATAAGCTGGTTGCATGCTATGTTTTCTCTCCTTCCACAACTTACACATCTAATGAGTAAAGATGTATAATTTGAATCAGACCGTTACTTACTGTTGAAGACAAACATAAAGTTAATTGAAAAAGAAAGTAAAAGTTGTGATCAATACTATAAAATGCAAAGGGAAATACAGGTTCAGAATTTCATTAGGAAAAAGTTAAGCAGCAATCATTTTTACTTGTATACTACAAAGACATTAATTACAATTCCTTGAATGCTAATATAACAGTTTGTAAACAAAAATCCAATTAAAAAAGAAATTTAGCACCAATATGTTAGGAACTGAAGACTGAAGAATCTTTGTGCAATTTATTGGCGTCCCTTTCTCTTAGGACAAGTCCAGTCAATTAATGAACAAAATGTTACCGATTCTGAACCTATGAATATTATTCTTTTACTATTTTTTAAGGCTTTTTTGCACTGGCAATGTGTAGAGAATCCTCCCCTGCCATTTGGAGTATACTAGTTATTACTTCCTGTCTACCTAGAACTCTTGGTACAGTACTTCATGGAAGAGACTTTCAAGTACATCTAGTTCCAACCCTCATGCCATGGAAAGAGACATCTTCCATTAGACCAAGTTGCTCAGAGCTTCTTCCAACCTGGCCTTGAACACTTCAAGTGATGGCTAATTCCTTAATGTAGTGTAGTTGGGTTTTTTTCATCATATGTTTGTATAGAGCATCGTGCCAAACATCCTGAGGTTTTATAGGTCAAGATATTTGTCCACTAGCTGGGGATTTCTCCTGTTCTTTATTGGGTGCTCCCCTTCCTAGAAGGCCACTGGCATCAAAGGGTGGGTCAGATGTGTTGCTTTGACAATAGTCTCCTGTTTGTGGTTGTTTTCTTTTCCAAGGGCTTTGTGGTTCCTCCTCATCTTTTGATGGCCTATCATGTGGTAAAAGAAAAGCTCTTCAATGGAAAGTTGGCAACCAGGAGTGAGTCTGCCTCTGCTGGAGCAATTCATCCTGCTCCTTGTCCAGATACACATTAATTGCTCCAGTGGTTGCAGCCTGTTGCCAGCTTTGCCCTTCCCAAGAGGTCCTCAGGCACAGGTGCACAGACAGGATGTCTGCGTGTGTCTGTGTGTCTTTATTTGTTGCAGTTGATCTTTGGGTGTGTAGTAGACCCAATGCTTTCCCAGAAAGAGTCTCAACCATGTTTGTGTGAATGTGCAGCTGCTGTTATGGTAGGCATGGGCAAGATACAGAAAAGCAATGCAACCCATGCTTTACTTCCAGCCTCTCAAAACAAATAGGCCAGCCTCCCAGCAGGAGGCTCCTGGTGCAGGGTTTCATTTTTATTTTCATTAAAACAGAAAACATGCCAAAACAGTGAAGAGATTATAAAGAAAGGGAAAATTAAAACTTTCATCATTAATTAAGCACTCAGAAGATGGAATAAGACGATTCATTAGTCATACACAAGCAACTCACTCTCTGTTGCACTGAAAAACTTTTTTTCCTTATTTCCATATACCATTTCCGTATTTCCATAATACCTAGAATCATAGAATGGCTTGGGTTGAAAGACACTTTAAAGACTATATAGTTCCAACCCCTCTGCCATGAGAAGTGATGTTTTCTACTAGATCAGGCTGCTCAGAGCTTCATCCAACTTAGCCTTGAATAATTCAAGTGATGGCTAATTCCTAAATATAGTGTAGAGTTGGTTTTTTTTCCTTGTATGTTTAGATAATTGCTTCTAGCAACAGGTGGTAGAAGCTAAACAGGAATTTTGCAAAGAAGTTTCAACTCAGCATATTATATATGGTGGATGGGAGGAGCAAAGTAAATCATATGAAAAGTTATTCAAGCTGACTTCAATAGATGGTCAGTGTTACTGTGTGTATAAGTCACAGTGTGGATGTGTAAGCAACTTCAACTGGTGCATAACCTTTATTTAAAATATTTTATGTAAAATAGAATAGAATAGAATAGAATAGAATAGAATAGAATAGAATAGAATAGAATAGAATAGAATAGAATAGAATAGAATAGAATAGGACTGTTTCAGTTGAAAGAGACCTACAATAGCAGTGACCAATTCATGACTGACCAAATGATAAAGCACATTCTTAAAGGCATTGTTCAAATTCCTGTTCAGATGTCACTGACAGGCTTGGGACACCAATCACCTCTCTAGGAAGCCAGCTCCAGTGTCTGACCACCCTCTTGGTGTAGATTTCCACTGGTGGGGAACTTAACTGGCATATCATCAACAGTAAAAATATGGAAAAAATCTACATATCCTGGGAGAATCCTATTAAATCATCAGAGTCAGCATGTTATTTCTGACGCTGTAACAATATACAGACCAGTCTCCGAGGCTGTAGAGAGCCCTGCTCATAAGAACATAATCACATAAATTCCACCCACAGACAATTTTTCCAAAACATTTTAGTGCTGAACTGTTGTCATGAAGATTTGGGGGTTATGATATTGACATTTATGCCTGTTTGTGCTGGAGAGCTGTTAAACTCAGGAACATAAAGTCCAGTGAACCATCACATGAAGTAATGATTTTTCTGCGTCACTACTTTTTTAAGTAGAGAACAAGAGTATGTAGAAAAACTTTCTGTTTTATTCTGTCATCCAGAACAAGTTGCATGAAATACAAATGCTCATATTCATCGTTGTTCTGCTACTTTTCAATATCAAGGTATTTTATATTGCTGTTCATAGTTGATCATTATATTAGCTACTCTGTGAGCAAAGAATTGTTAAGTTCCTTTATGTTATTTACATAATGTACTGGGTATGAATAGCACTATTTTCCTTAGGATAAAGAAGGGTGAAGTAGTAGTAGTAATAGTAGTAGTAGTAGTGGAGTACTAAACCAAGGTAAATGAGCATTTTTAAGTGATTTTAGACAGAATATCATAGTAAAATAATTTTCTAAAAAAACCCCAAACATAACAAAAAGCTTCCAATTACTTAGAATTATTGGTTTTAATAAGGCACTGAGTAACCTCTTCACTACTGTCTTATTCATCAAGTGAGTTCCTCAGGGAAAGACATCCTGTCAGGTGCTGCAGAAAAATCTCTGAGCAGCATCAGTACTGTTAATGCCTCAAATAATGACTGCAAGGATAGCAAAATGATACATTTTTATCTAGCAGGCATTGATCATAATTATATTACTGATAAAGGCAAAGCATAATAAATATTGTGTTTTAAATAGGTCCTTTGATTAGAATAAAAATGCCATGGAAATAATTTCAGTGGTAGCTGTGTGATCCTTCTGAATGCAGAATGTAAAATGTTTGCATATTCTCAGGATGAAAGGAGTTATCACTCTAAGCTATTCACTTATTAATTTTAATTTAGTATTTGTGGTATATCAGACATTATAGATTGTTCACCATTTTGCTTTATGACAGAGAAGAACCCTGATAACTGTGCTGTGTCTAAAATGTAGCTCCCTCATTTACCTGCCTTCTTGGACTGAACTGCAGAACCTTAATTGGCTGTCATGGTTTCCATGATCCTTTTCTCATGTGACATTGTGGTTACAATGAACACATTGCATGTACAGCAGAGCCTTCATCTTCTTAACACAGCACAGACCCTTTCATCCTTGCAAAATGAATAATTAAACTAGGATTTTAATATTTGTGTTTGCTTTTGGGTTTATTAGCTTTAACTGTGAAAGCTAAGCAATTATTTTGCATGCTCCATCTGACTAAGTCTTAAAAAAATAGACTGAAGTTATCCATATATCTGTTCTGGCTTTAAGCTATCTTAAAATAGAACTGTTGAAGAAATGGACTCTCCCAATTGAATAAGTGGCTTTCTAATTATTGCTTTGGGTTTGCATAAGGTCCAGAAGTGCTAAGCAAAATTAAGGAAGATGTTTGTCACAGATAAGGTCCTATGGTGGTAATATAATTCCTCTGCTCTACCTGCCTCACTTGAATTTGGGTTTTTTTGTTTCTGCAGACTCCAGAGGAGGGAGCCTCTACAACCATCTATGCAGCAGTATCGCCTGAGTTGGAAGGAGCTGGTGGCTGCTACCTTTACAATGAGGAAAGGACAAAGTCGGCTGATGTAGCATATGATGAGGAGCTGCAGAGAAGGCTCTGGACAGAAAGCTGCAAGATGGTTGGGATTTCTGATGAAGCCAGCAGGCTTCCCTAGAAGAAGCCACTTTCAGCTGGGTAAATAAAATGCATTGAAAAGCATCTTAGGCGAATTCTTGCAGCATCAGTCATCATCCTGGAAATCACTGTTCAGTCACAAAGGCAAACGTGAACAGCTCTGTTCTTCACTTGGATCCCTAATCTGCTAGGGTGTGGGGGAAATATTCCCACAGAAAGGTGTAGTGGTTGGTTTTAAATCTAACCATCAGTTTTGTAAATCATTCTGTTTCAGTCCGTGATTAAAATACAATCTTTAAACATGTGCAGAGATGAGTTTTCATTGTTTTGTTCAACAAAAATAATGCTTGAGCATGTTGTTCTGGGAGGTTTTGAACTTAAACCACCTTTGTACATATAAGTTAGTCTTTTAAATCAGTTTTAAAAGTTGCAGCTTTATTTTCTTAAGCTTCATTAATCTTTAAGACACTTTCATCAGCTTGTTCTAATGCAGAAATTTGGCTTTCATGATCATGATGTTGTTTCTGTCTTAAGGTTAGTTTTATATGTCAGCTTTTATCCAGAGGTATTAACTGAAGGTCAGAACAACAAGAAAAAGTAATAAATAAGGTCTTCTTCAAACAGGATGTTGAATTCACTTGTTTCCAGCTTAAATTCATCTCTCCTATAAAGGTGAGGAGGGATCAAACATCATAATGGCAACACTGGCTTTGGCAGAGGATGCAGTTGACCTATTGTCTTTGTCAGTGGGCTGAGATTACTTCTCCCCTTTTCCCCTGAACCCCTGTAATGTTGCATCTGCAGTTTCATTTATTTTCTTTGACAAGGAGAGTCATTCATGTGTGGTTTCATAAAAGGAAAGGAAGAATCTCCTCCTTTTGTTGGTTTTGATCCTATTTCATATTAGTTTCAGAACTAGAGTTCATGATTTGGAAGAGACAGCAATTAATGCCAGCCCACTTTTTCCTCTTCATGGAAATGTTCCCTAAACTGTATCTTTGCCATTTTTAGAGTAGGCCCTGCCTACTCATCCCACTTACACAGGAGCAAAAGGGTATTTTCCTTTAGCTGTGTATGTCTTGCCTAAAATTTCCTAGCAGCTGTTTCATTTTTAATTCTATTTGACTGTCTCTGAGTGTGGAGCAGATATACTTCATGAAGCTATTTTCAGCAAACACTAGGGTTTCCCCTGTCAGTGGGATAGCACTTGGTTCAGATGCTGTCAGTTTTGAACACACTTCAGTTGTGGACATTTCAGGGAACTCTACCTATGTCTACCAAAGAGAGTCTTTAAGAATGATGTTAAAAAACATGGAGTTAAAAAACAAAACAGACATTGGGCAGTACAAAGATAGCCCGGATTTATACAAGCTCAAATAACTAGAAGAAAAAACTGGATTGAAGACAGAAATATTTTAATGGGAATGGTGGTAAACCATGAGAATAATTTGCAGTGAAACTTCCCTGCACAGTTGCAGTCAAGATTGTAAGTCTCATAAAAACATCTGGAAGTGTCTGGGGAAACCTTACAGCAGCCTTAGGGTACTTATAGGGGCATATACAGGAAAGATGGAGAGGGGCTTGGGAAGTGCAGTGACAGAATGAGGGGGTAACAGTTCTAAATTGAAAGAAGATATAGGTTAGACATCGAGAAGAAATACTTCACTATCAGGGTGCTGAAGCACTGGAATAAGTTGCCCACATTAACTGTGGATGTCCCATTCCTGGAAGTGTTAAAGATCAGGTTGGATGGGGCTTTGTCTAGTGGAAGATGTCCCTGCCCACAGCAGGGGAGTTGGAAACAAATGGTCTTTAAGGTCCATTCTGATCCAAACTGTTCTGTGATTCTTTAATTTCTTCTCAGTGAGTCTTTCCAAGAATGGGATCTGTGTCTAGGGACCTTGAGGTCTTATTTTTAATGGAGTAAGGACTGCCCTACTCCCATCTGGTTGATTTTAGGTGCCATCTAAAAAACATGCATAGTCCTATAAATATCCTTGCATTTCCTTTTTTCAAGATACACAGGGAAAGTGACTTATAGGTGGACATAAAGCTTGTATTCATTTTGAGGAGCTGGAAATCACTGCATGAGAGAACCAAGTGCAAACACAGTGTTGTGCTCTCATTTGCAGCAGACTAGAAACAATAGGAACATGTTCCTATGCACTGAACCCTGGACTAATATCCCTTTTGGGCTTTTTAGCTCAAACTTGGTACTTCACTCCAAGTGACCTTATCTCCAGCCTTTTGTTCAGAGGAAGATCACATCTAAGTGGAAGTAAGCATGCTTATATCTCCAGAGCCTAGGAAAAGATGCACTGCCCCCCAAAAAAAAAAAAAAAAAAATCATATGAACAAAGAAAAGCATCTGGGAACAAAAATAATAAACAAATTGAGGGAGAGCATATTTTCTGTCTGAATTAAGCCATGCATGATCTATTTTTAACTTCTTAACATATACAAGGGTTCATATCTCAGCAGGAGATTTATCACTCAGTCACTATAGCACTTTTTCTGTATGACTGGCTGACTTTTTTTTTTGGTAAGTGAATGTAGTGCTTGTGAAATGTGCCAGACTGACACTCCAGGAACTAAATTCCTCTGTTTATTCACGGATCATGCACAGGATGCAGTAAGCCTGCCAGACAGCCAACATTTTGATGTTGCCATAGCATTCCCATGGAACATTATTGCTGCTGTAAGTGTGTCCAGGATTACTCAAACTAGATGGGATGAGATTACCATCAGTGTTAACTCTCTAGAAACTCCACAATATTTGCACAACCAGTTTCAAGTGGCATAGAGATTAGTGAATTAGCAAACAATAAAGAGAGCTAGTCACACTTTCAGTGTAATCTGAACCAAATTATTAACTGTCCCAGTCCAATGAAATCTGTTCAAAACACTGAAAACATGGTTTGTGAGAACCAAGAACACAGACATAGCTGAGTGAGGGGTAAAATAAAAGCATGCTACAGCCAGGGATTTCCAGAGCATTGCAGTTCATGAAAATACAGTTGAGCTAGTTGCAAAACTGTTATCTCTGGAACTAAAAGCAGAAAACTGTGTCAGCTTTGCAATGTCACATAAGCACGTGAATTTATCTGGGGCAAACCCCAGTATTGTTATAAAGTACTCTCAGTGTGAATGAGAATAATCACTCATGATACTGCTGCAAGAATCCAAAATAATTTTTAATATATCTATATAGGAAAAAAGTATATGAAACATGTAAAAGATGACAATGATTTTACTTTTGCACAGATAAATGGTTAGAGATGATTTAATTTCACATTTTAAGGTAATGGGATTTCCAAAGATCTGAGCAAGGCTGTATTTCACTTCAGTGAATACATTGCTGAGAGGTGGCTTTGTAGTTGGTACATAGGTATAGAAAAAATACCTGAGAGCTCTTTAACTTTGCAGAGAAAGGCTAAACAAGCCCAAGTAATGGTAAATTGAAGGTAAACAAGTTAACCTTCCAACATGAAAGCAGATCCTCTTTGAGAGTGATTTCATATCGGAACACATAGATCTGATATCTGAAGATAATTAAAAGATGCCTCTGACATGACAAGTGGCAAATTGGCCAGGTAGGCTCCTAAGAAAAGTAGGTCAGTCACAGTTAAGTCATACAGATTCTCCCTCATGTCCACAATGACAGCACTTCTTTTGATTAGTGTGAGAGTAACTCATTGCTCAAAACTTCTAAAATGTATATTTCCCTGCCAGAACTCTTCCCAGGCTAATATTTACTTCATAAATCGAAGTCCCTCTTCCTCGTCTCAAAAAGGCACACCAGTTCAAGTCTGAGATAAACAGAAGCATCCACTAAGCACCAAGGTCATCTGAACCTACTGCCTTTGGTAGCAGAGTGAAACCATGTCAAATCATTTTTTCTCTCTTATGAAAGGATTACAAATTTAAAAGTAAAAAAAAAATAACCTCTAAAACAGGACCAAAAAAGATGACTCCTGTTATGAAGGATAGTTCAAATAAACATAGATCTTACAAATGGATCAGCAAATGGATCTTATGAGAACAAATGCAGTTGTCTAGGAATTTGATAAGGCAAGGTTATGTAAACAATGAACTTGTACAGGAAATAAATAACTTGCTGACAAAAGAGCTCTAAGTTTCTTAGAAAAAATAAATTATAATTTCCTCAACAATTAACTATTTTATTTTTCAACTGTGGGGAAAATATTTATAAGCTGAAAAGGTAAGTGCTATAATTTGTGTGTGAATACACTGTTATTTGCACATAATGAAGTAGTTACATTCTTGCTTTCAGTTCAATACTGATTTTTGGATCTACATATGGAGCCACCAGCCACACTTCCAAAATGATATTTTATAAATATTTAGACTTCGTAGTTGACTCTTTACACAACAATCAATTACTTTAGTACACAGTGAGAACTGATACTGTAGAAACAAAGGACTTTGTTATGTAACATCAGGTTTGCTGCCACATCTTCCAAATGCACAGTAGTGTTAACTCTAAATATAACAATACACAGAAAATATTTAAATGCTCACCCTAAATAAATTTTCTACATACAGGATCTTGTTCAGCTCCAGTGTTAGGCTGCCCTTGCTCATTCTGTGACATGGTTTCCACTTCATCTGCCACCATGGAAGGACAAAAATCAGATTCCTGTGAATTTAACATGAAATCTGTCACAGATAAGATAAAACTCTTGTCATTTTAAGAGACTGAAGGCTGAGTATACTGACCCATCTGCAATAACTGATGAAGTCAGTGCAAAACATATGTTGTACAACATCAGGCCAGGCAAGACGGGTAAGCCACAAACAATTCTTTGAAGGTAATTTTATTCCTTTTTAAAACAAATGTGCTAATCTTTGGCAATCTTCTGTGGCAACACAGAAGAAAGGTAACAGGAAGAAAACAGACCAGTGGCCAAGAGTGCTGTTTCCAAATACATATAGTTACTGGCTTCTATATTGTACCCATCAAAACTTGTTGGCTTCTCTCCCTTTGAAAATGGACCTTAGCCAAGAATTCCTTTCACACAGGCAATCAAGAAGAGTCAATATGTAGTGCTGACTCATTTACTTAGACAAACTGTTTAGATTGAAACCAATCACTTTAAAGTACAAGATTTCCTAATCTCAGAAAAGAAATAGTAAAGAAAAAAAAAGAGCCAAAAGTCAGGCCATGGTACTTTTCGAGTGATATTAAACCTGGTCACCTCTTCAAAGTCAGAATGCAAGACACATTAAGATGGTAAGCAACTTTATGTCCTTTCCAAAGAACACAGGTCAACAAACATTTCTTTCC